TTACTACGCTAGCTAAAACAGCTATGATGCTGGTCTGATCTGAAATATATTTTTCTGATGTACAATTTATTCTAGAGGGGTGAATGTGGTCTTGTCTTTACAACTCTATAACTTCTCAATCTGATGGTCCAAATTGTTCTGCTATCAGATTTCTAAACACCTAGAGCAGTGATCGGCAACCCACGGCTCCAGAGCCACATGTGGGTCTTTAATGGCCCCCTTGTGACTCCCTGGAGCTTTTTCAAAAATGTATGAAAATGGAAAAAGACTTATTTTTTGTTGTTTGTTTTAATATGGTGTGCAGGAGGTAAAAAAAAAACATTCATTGTGTTTTCCAATGCAGTAAAAATTTGTATAATAAATAAATTTTTAAAATAAATGTAAACACTCTTTCAAGATTTGTGTCATAGCCTGCAAAACACATTTCAGTGTGGTGTGGTGCCAGGCAGGTGTCTGTTCTAAATAAAGCGGAGGGTGTGTCTTGGTCCATGGATCACAAAGGGAATCATTGCTTTCATTCAAAATGCGGAAGGATGCCTGCATGTTTGTTTTTTGTCAAGCTGTAAAAAGAGTAATTTGGTAAGGCGTTTTCAGAAAAGCATGTTAAATATGCAGTCGACCACCAATGTAGAAAGGAGAGAAAAATGTGATTGCAGTACTTCTGGATAAATTAGAGGAGTGCAAAGATAGATTTAAGAAGTAGATTGTATTTCCAAACTCTGCTACTGCTGCTAGTTTTGTTGCACGCATAGAAAACCATCCACAGATTGAACAGGTAGCACTCTCATGCAGGTATGGGAACTTTGTTCCATTTTTTCGCCTCAAATCTTCAAAATAAAAGTAACATAAAAAATCTGATCTCTTTATCATGTTTCTATAAGTTCATCAATGCAGCAAAACCCAATACATACAAACCGTGCAGGGGCGCAAACTGTGAACTCCACACGTTGAGAGCATTCAATGCACCTCGCTCACCTCATGCTACTTTGGAATTTAAACTTAAAGCACCAAATGTCGTATCATAAATGCTTTCTTTTTTATTTTTTTTTATGGTGGGCTAATACAATGGACAGGTTCAAAGAGGATTGGGCAGCAGTCAAAGATCTGATCCCCAAAAGCTTAAGCTGGCTCTGCAGATGTGGAATATCACCTGACATAGAGGGGAAGAAACCTGAGCTTGTTTAGCAGGTGAAGCATTGCTGACCAGAACTAGTCAGGCTCACCTCTATGCAACTTTGGTTCTGGAACACTATCTTCTTATCTATCTTCTGTCAGTCAGTTATCTATCTTCTGTGTGTAACACAGCTGGCTTGGCTTCAGTTCCCAATTCTCTCTTCCTTAAAAAAAAAAAAAAAAAAAAAAAAATCAAATATGCAAAAAGGGAAGCAGATCAGTTTAAAGGATTATGAGGAAGACCTCAGCCACTGTTCAGGACCTATAAATCTTTATTTTCTACCTATGTGCATGCTAATAATTCTCTCGGCTTTATTTGGATTGTATCATTAATTTGATCCCATTTTCAATACCTATAATGCCATGGTTTATATTTACTATTAAAATATAGCTTGTGGTTTTATATGGTATACATTGGCTTTTACTCATTATACATCATTCTAAATCCATAGCAGGTTTCGAAATTTTTGTCTAATGCAATTACCTCATAGTATCTGTTTTCCCTCATAGCTTGTGACTTTATTTCAGTTTGGAAAAGAGGAAGTTGTACACTTAAAGCTAAATATGTTCCAATTTTCTGGCATGTGTATTTACTGGAAGTGAAAATGACAAGAATGGTAATTAAAGATTAAGAGATATATATAAAAATGGCCTATAATATATTTTAAGTAGTTTTGAAATGAACTCAAATCTCTGGCAATCTTTCACAATGTTGAGACCTCTTATCTACTTCTTGACAGTTTGCCCCCTATTTGATTGTTTTGAAGTAGCCAGTTCAAGTGAATTATTAACCTGTTAACTTGTTTTCAAGGATTTTCAGAAGAAATATTTGTGACACCAAGCACTAATTCATGCCTGTTAATGAATACTTTATATATTCCACCTGAGTAGGTCTATTTTTTTTGCAGTTTCTAGAGCCAGCTGTGTTATTAACTAAAGCAGGTAAATTAGAACGTTTTCCAATTCGATAATTATTCCAATCACAACCCAACAATGCATTTAAAAGCCTCAACTTCAAATTTATGAAATCCTCGAAACAAAGATTAGCCTTGATTTATTGTTAATATTAAGATTTAGGAGGGACAGTGTTTGCCCTGACCATGGAACACTGGTCCAAATCTTTGCCTTTAAGGATTAAGGGTTGATAGGCCTTTATTGGGTCTATTTTTGTAGTGGAAACAGCTTAAAGGGAACTTGGGGTCTCAGCTGTGAATTTATAGAGGCTCTGCTGATTTTAACTAGAGGTTGATTATCAAGGCACAGAAAGGGAAATTATTGCCTTGTTTTTTATGTGTCTACATCTATTTCTAAATCTTAAACGATGAAAAATAAGCATACTGAAGCAAAATTAGTAAAGAGTTACAGTTTTTTAGAAATATAGACAAAAAATTACACTCATTTGAACATTTGAATATTTAACAAAGGTCAAATGCGTATGCACCGCTACAGTGCTGTTGCAGATCAATTGTGTCCAGCAGGTGGGTTGCGAGGTATATCTGGCCTCAAAAATGTAAATCAGATAGGGTAACCCAAAACTCAAATTACCACATCTCCCTGATCTTAGTGATACGTATACACAGCACTGATGAAGGAATAAGAGCCACCTGCATGGTGTCACCCCGGTGGGAACAACAGCTGGCCAAAACGGGGCCTCAGCCACCCCCTGGTGACCCCTTAGGATGATCCACAATAACGTACCAAAAAAAAAACCTTAGCAATGGCTGAGAACCTTAAAACTAACCCATCAAGATGGCTGCTTGCTAGAGAAGGACCTTTTAACCATTTTTTTTTTTTAAATAAACAGAGATAGAGAAGAGGACATCAGCACAGAGAACAAGTACAAAAAAATGAGGAGAATACATCAAGCCAGAACATACCGTGTCATACAGGGAGCAGTTCTAGGAAAGCAGATCAAATAATTGATATAGCCAAACCTAAGGTTGGGTTGTCACACTTTAATCTCCATAATTAAGGCTGAACCACTGCTTCCAGTGTTAAACAGCTATAATATAAATTACAAGAAACGTTTTGTGATCATAAAGTCACACATTTTAAAGTATGATTCATTTTCAAAGAATCATACTTAAAAACTTGATACCAGCAAGAACATTTTTTTTATGACAAATATAAAATTTCTGTTCCTGCATTAGAAGGGCCTACCTCATGAGGTGCTGATTGTTACTAAACATACTTGAAAGGAATCTGAATGTCAAGGCTCAGAGCAAAAGATCAAAAGCATTTATTATAAACAAAGCATCTGCTGTAACTGCAAACCAGGACCTCTAGGGCAGGAACCTCTGCCTTAAACGCAGTGGGAGAATTTAGGTTAGTGAACATGTAAACCTTATGGAGGATGTTTAGATATGTGTGAGTCACTAAACCGTTCTTAAAGTTCAGTTCGTGCCCAGAGGAAGATGTGGATTCCAGAGGGAAAACTCGGGTCAGCGACCACGTAAATCTGATGGAGGATGTTTACGAATGTGTGAATCACTAACCTGACCTTAAAGTTCAGTCCGTGCCCAGAGGAAGGGGTGGATTCCAGCCAAATAGCTGCCAACAGCATGCAGTAAACGCTGCCCAGAAAGTTCCAGACACCGAAGCCTTGAAGATTGCAGAACTTGATGACTAACGTATCCAAGCAGACCAAGGAAGGCAGGATACTCCAGAAGATGAAGCCAAAGCCGGTGTGGAAGAAGTTCACAGGAGTCCAAGCCAGGAAACCAGAGATCCGAAGAGGTACTGAAGGGAAATCCAGGTCGGTGTCAGAAAGCAGGTCCAAGTGCAGTCAAAACAGGCAGAATCCAGCAGGAGTCTGAAGACAGGTCAGGCAAATAGATCAGAACAGAAACAGGCATGCTCAGAGGTCCAAAGGCAAAGAACTCTCACCAAAGGCTCAAAAGATCTGGCACTGATGACTGGGAACAGGGAGGTTAACTAGAGATTAGAGCAGGTGGCAGAGATGAACAGACCTGAGAAACTTGGTGGAGCCAGACAGGTGAATGGAATTAACCAAGTTAATCATTAATGCCAAGATGATGACAATAAATTGATTATGATTAGTGTAAACTATAATATGAAAATTACTGTCTCCAAAGTAAAGTTAAAAAAGCTGAAGAGCTAACAAAGTAAGAGTCTTTTTTTATTATTATACAAATTGGAGTTTATTGTTCAAGGTGTGAACAAAACCTTGATTTGGTTTCCTTTTTCTGTTTAACTACCCATTCAATTCATGGTTTCCTGTGCACTGAGTTCAAAAATCCTAATTCAACCACAATGTCTGAGCAACTGCTGTTGATCTGTGCAGCCTTTACTGTGAGTCAAATTAGTTTTCAGATAATACGTAAAAACACAGCAAAAATAATATGTAAAATAAAAACACTATAAACTATAAATTAATTTTTAATCAGTATAGCAATTAAACAGACCTTTCAAACCTTATTTGACTTAACCTTATTGAGGTGCTAAAACAGTGGAATGTGTTTAAGTTCGAATTGTAGATGGCAGAGATCAGCTGAAGAATTAAAAACTTTTTCTTCAAGAAAGAAGATATTGTTTTTTGCAACGTATCCATTGCAGATTAATAAATATAAAACTCAGATTTTGCCAAGTCTTTTTGGCCAAAAATTAAAAACAAACATCCCATTAAGGGCTTATGGAGCCACAAACTAAAAACCTCCAACATTGAATAGAGCATTACATTTAAAAGTGTTTTGAACTTGGCCGAGATATTTGCACATAAACCGAACTGATAAGTTTCCGCTGTGGGAGGAAATCTGTTTCTAACACATCACTTCTAGAAGCCGATGCTACTTTCTTTATGAGCTTTGAAAAAAAGGGAAGGAAACACATGCAGAGCAGGGGTGTCTAAAGAAGTCTGAAAATACTTGGTTTTATTTCCATTTAATACTTCTTCTTTTTCCAAAATTGTAGTTAGAGCAAACAGCTTAACTATTTCTGAGCAGCAGTTCTGGAGGTGAGGATGGGGCACCCTTTGCTCTGCATGCTGGGCTTCTTCTGTAAGTATATTACTGACTTCCTATTAATCTATTGCATCAATTATTTCCATACTGTGTAGATTATAGTCCAAGACTGTCAGCTGAAAAACTGAGTACCATTTTATAAATTATGACACTTCAAAATTATACAGGACTTGAACATGTTAATCTGTGCAAGCAATATGTGACAAGTTCTTGTTACCCCTGACTTTTGCAGCTGGTAACCAGTGTGATTTGATGCAGCAGCATCACTTCAGAAAGATCCAGCAGATAGATCAGTTATACAAGAGATGGGAAGCTGGTTGCTGATTCAAGCTCACTAATTGCTTTTAGTCTTGTAAAAGATGAAAGGAGGTTGACAAAGCCGGTGATGAGGTTATGATTACGAAATTCTGAGGAAATTCTGAGGAAAATTATTTTAAATTTGCTCTCAACACACACTACTGAAAGCCTATAAGCCCTTATACTACATATTGAAACATTATTATACTTAAATGTTCTTATACACACGACTGAAATGCTCTTACCTCCATCACTGATTTATTGCAGTTAAAAAAAAGATATTTCAGTAAAAACCTAAAGACTTAGTGGACAAAAAGTGAGAGTTTTACATATGTTTTGATGAACAATGGTGGTTTAGTACCAAGGAGGAAGCTTGAAAGTGTAGGCATGAAAAGCATTTCTGAATTAGGTCATAGATGATAATAGGAAGTCTTTACCCACAGTTTAAAAGATCTAATTTTGCCAATGTAAACAGTTTGAACCAAAATGTAGTTAAGTCTGACCTTTTTTATTTCAAACATTATTCTCTGATGTATTGTGAAATGAATGACCTCAGAAAAACTTGATCATTGTTTCAGTAGTGTGTAGAATAGAGAATCCCTTTATTTTCCCACAGTAGAGAAATTGTGGCGTTACAGCAACAGCAAAACTTTATAGCAGAAGTGGTCACACAATGTGGACATTAGAAAAAATATATAAAAATAACAGAATAAGTGAAAGAGATAAGAAAATAAACAAAATACTGTTCTGTATAGTGTTTTTAAATAACATGCTGTGGTCATTTTGCATATCTCTGGTGTTGCTGCTATTTTCACATATGCATTACTGTAACAATGTCCACAGCTATTCATTATTTATTCTTATATTTACATTTTAACTGACTAACTCAAAAACTATGAAAAAATCAGCATGAATGTAACAACTTATTAAGGTTGCTGGGAACAGTGATGGTTATACTGCCATCAGACTGTTGAACCTTTGATCCACAAACCGAACTCTGCACCTATTGCACATTATCGGGCATCAAATGCTGCTGAACGTTTAACTTTCAGCTTTCTCAGTTTATCTCATTTCTATTCTCAACCGAAGGAAATAACGCATTTTTGCACAAATGCCTATTTGCACTGAACCATTGCAATTTGCACACTGTTTTTATCCACTGCACTGTTAACACTTTGACCACTGCTGCGCTTTTTGTATAACTTGTGTGTAACAATACGGAAATGTATTCCATCTCATTTGAAATATCAATGCAATGTTCATAAGCTGTATGCAACGCAATTTCGTTCTGTATGCACTCCGTGCATACAAAATGACCAATAAAAAAGTCTAAAACAGTCTAAGTCTAATATCTCACAGCTGTTGGGAGGAAGGATTTGTGATAACACTCCCTTGTGCATTTAGGGCGCAGCAGCGTGTCAGTGAAGGAGCTTTCTAGTTCAGCAACAGCTTCATGCATGGGGTGGGAAACATTATCTAACAGAGATGTTATTTTAGTTAGGGTCCTTTTGTTTCCCACCTATTGCACTGAGTTCACGGGGCATCCAATCGTAGAGCTGGCCTTCCTGATCAGCTTATCCAGCCGCTCTCTCTCAGCTACAAACAAGTCGCTGCTCCATAGAAGATGGTTGATGCCACAACCGTCAAAAAAGGTCTTTAGGAGTGCCCCCCTGCACTCCAAAAGACTTCAGTCTCCTCAGCAGGAAGAGTCTGCTTTGACCCTTCCTATAGGAAGTCTCAGTGTTGTGAGTCTAGTCCATTTCATTGTTCAGGTGAATGACCATGTATTTTTGTGTATGAGAGCTATTTAAAGTTTCAGTCGTGTGTGAGTGAAAATTCAGTATAATCTCCCTCGCAGCCCTTAATAATTGTCTGCGTTATTTTGTCTTTATATATCTGACACCACTTGATATGTTTCTATTCATGGGAAACTAAAATCTGTTTCTTGTAAGTCTGGCTCACTGAATAAGAACAGGCCATTATTTAAAGCTTAGGACCAGGTTTAGTCGTAGAAAAAAAATGTTTTTCTCACTTTTAATTGTTCAGCATGAACCTGATTTCTCTATTCTGTGTTTTTTGTGGATCCCTCTTTGACAGTTTCACTTTACAAATTAAAAAAAGATATTTTGTTCTATTAATAATTTTTTGTTTTTGTTTTATTGTAGTGACTTTTACACTTCATTGTGATTATGCTCAAGGTAAGAGTGATTCAATCCACCTCTTTCTCTGTTTTCCTTCTCAGAAGATCTTATTTGTATTTATATTCTATTATATATTGTTTGCTCACCATAATATGTTTACCACAGCTTACATTTTCCTAAAATTGGTTTCACTTTAAAAGTTTTATTTGATCTAAACACAGGTCTGGTGAGAGCCTGAAGAAAATCAGTAGACGATGAATATTTATTGATTTATCCCAATTATATGTAAATTCAAACTAAAGAAAGAGTAGCTTTAAATTCAGGTCAAAGTGGTTGTAAACACTACTGACAGAACATCCAGAGACAGAAAAGAAGCAAATACACTTGGTCATGACTGAAAGCAGGACATCAATGTCTACAGATGTGAAATTAAAAGGGGTATCTAAAAGAGGAATGGCAGGCAAAAGAAAAAAGGAACCAGACAGGTTAAGGTCAGGAGTCAAAACAAGGATTGCTGGGAGGTAGTATTGTCCGATGTCCTTTTTTGGCCCGATACCCAATACCTGGCTATGCAGTATCGGCTGATACCAATACCATACCATCTGTTTGAGATTGATGTGTGTGTGTATATGTATGAACAACTGCATACTACTTGGATGTAAAATAATTGCCCTCATGGCTTTGTCAAGCTGCTGCCTACCTTTGTGAAGTAAGAAAAAGACTAAAACAAAGTGAATCCAATAGAGCTTTTTATTGCCTACCTGGAATGGGTGATAATAGTTGAATAAACTTTTGGCTCTCAAAATGGTATCGGTGCTCTATTTGTTGGTACTCACCTATACTGATACCACCATTTTAGTGATGGATCGGGGCCCCGCCCGATACTGGTATCAGTATAGGTGAAACACTACCGGAAAGTCTACTTATACGGACACTTCTCAAAAATTTGGTTGATTAATGTGTAAAGTAATGAACATATTTTCTTCTTTAACCTTGGATATATTGTGTGCATTTAAACCAAGCCTAGTCAGATTTATTCAATTTTTCATTAAAGTGCAAGAGACATAGTCAAGTCAAGATATAGTCAAGACAAGTCTTTCCATCACAAATATTTGTGGCCTAGTACTTTAAACTAATTTCATTCTAGGTATGTCTATTTTATGCCATCTTCTTGTCAAAGTTTTCTTAGCTGAGATTGAAATAATTCTGATTAAACATTTGTCAGCTTGAGAAGTCCTGTTTAGGGTTTTCCAGACCAAGGTGCATACTTAAGAAATCTTCTAAATAAATATATACTCTGTTTTTCTGTTCTGTTTAC